ATAGTGGGATGTTTGGTTTGTGTATTTTGGGTCTGCCGTAGAATCGAGGGAGTACTGGTCCGTTGGATTTCATTCTCCATTGTTCTTGTTTTGTTATTTCTCCTGCTTTGACTAGCTTGTTTAAGGTCTTTAAGATTTGGTTGTCTAATTTTTTGACGGGATTTGTATCCATCAGTTTGTATGTGCTCTTCCAGTAGTTCTTCGGCTTTTTTGACGTATTCTTCTTTGTCCATGATTACTGTGGTGCGTCCTTTGTCCGCTGGTATTATGACAATATCCTTTCTATTTTTGAGTTCTTTTAAGGCCTTTTGTTCTTGTGGAGTCAGTTGGTTGTTTTCCTTCACCTGTTGAGTTAGCGGTACTATAGTTTGCCTTATTTCTTGTTGTGTTTCTTCACTGATTCCGGAAGTTTTGAGTGATGACTCCAGTGCTGCGAAGACCTCTAGCTTTGAGGCGTCGCTTGTATTGTAGTTTAATCCTTTTTGAAGTAGGTGTTCTTCCGTATTTGTTAGTGGTTGTTTTGACAAATTGACCACGCAGTTGTTTGTGTTTTCTTCCACGGGTGGTTTTGAAATCTTGATTAGTTTTTTCTTTAAGGTGTTTCTTGTTTGTTCTCTGTGTCGTTTGCATGATATCTCGATGGCTATTGTCAAGATTTCCAAGTGTTCTGAAGTAAGTGTCCTTTGTAGCTTCATCTTTTGGTCCTCTATGACGTGTTAGTATTTGCGGATTCTGTAGTGTGCATCCGTTATCATTAGGTGTACCATTTTTCTTCCACTTTTCTTAGCTATTTTCCATCCTAATGGGCAGTTGATTGGAGGTCTATATCTTATGCTTGTTGGTAGAACATGCTGGCGAAGACACTCATGGAGAAAATATAGTTGTTCTCGAGTGGAAGCCTGCCTTTTGGCGAAATTATCCCATTTTCGAACAACGAGAAACGTATTACGTAGCACACAAACCGACAAAATCACTACAATCAATCCTATGCAAACCAAAAGATGAAATAACAAAGGAAAACAAATCAAACATCATCTACAAAATAAATTGTGCCAACTGCGAAAAACACTACATCGGACAAAGTGGACGCCCCTTCACCTGAGCCTACATGAACATCAATTAGCAGTCAAACGGCATGATATCTCCTCACTTATATCAATACACGTGGACAACTGCGGACACTCATTCGATTGGAAAAATGTGGAAATCTTAGACAGAGGAATCTTCAAAAGCACCAGAGAATTTTTAGAAGCCTTGCACTCAGGTCAACCAGCAATCAACAAGCATATTGAAATCAATCCAATTTATCAACCAATCAGAAAAATCATGCACAAACATAAGAACAAAAATCAAAACAATGGGAGATACAACCAAAACAAAGAAGTAAACAATGACAAATTTAAGGTCAATAAGAACCAATCAACATCGAGGTGCACAGAACAAGCTTTGAAACACATATGGATAAATTTAAACACTTCACTTCTATTTGAAGTTTGTGCTGATGATGTCGTTCAGAAGAACGGTGAAAGCTCCACGACGAAACCACCCAGCTCAGAGAACAAAACTCCACAATTGTCATCCACCTGAGCTACAGATCTTCTCCACTAACTGTTGTTGATCTGAAATCGCACACTGAATACTGCTTCTTTAGTTACACAATTTCGTATGAAAGATTAATTCATGAATTGTTACGTTATATTTATTTCTCTCGGCTAACCAAGCTTCAGTCATACCAAAAGTTAATAAATTCCTGTCAAGAAATTTTATTTATTGTTTAAGTGTGTAATTACGTTATATGTAATACAGTCATCTGCATCTTCAGCTATAATTTCATTGTCAGACCACCTTGAAGATAAAAGCTTGACGTACGCACGCTCCTTACCAAGTGTTACTTCTCATCATGAAATTTAAACTCCACAGAATGATTGAGTACATAGCGACTGTAACCCTCCATAATAAGTAGTCCTGCAAGCCTTTTATATTGAATTTTGACCTCATTATTTTAGTGGATACACCCTTTCTGATGGCGCCCGGTCAACCATACTCAGCAAGTCACGTTTGGGTATTCTATGTTGAGCATCCTTGACAACAGCTACTTAGCTTATACTATATAGTACTCGTCGCATCGAGTATCTTTCGCATATATCCCTGAGCTTTGTGATTCATCATTCCTGATTTCATTGAATATTGGATGTTTGAAACATTTCTACCATCATCAAGTGCAGGAGTTCAGCCACCAACGCTAGCAATACTTCTACAAATGTTTCCACACGGAACATCAGAAGATTGTTTAATGTTACGTAACAACAGCTCAATAATTTGTTAATCAGGTCCAAATCCTCCATCACGTCAAAATGTCAACCGCTTTACTTAATACTGGCATCAGTCCTTTGAAACAATTTTTCCACATATGACTTCCGGTAACTTGGCCTAAGTTGGTTCATGAAGTGGATGTTACGAGAAGGACTGAAAATATTTAACTAATTAAAAACTATCATGTGGTATACTAATAATTTCACTGATTTTTGAATGCTTCTGTTGTCACTGACCTTTTGAACTCGTTTATTTTATAAATTTGACCTCGTACATTTTAGTTTCATTCTGCTTTTGTTTTTGGTAACTTCGTTTGCGCTTTATTTACATGCGATACGGGTTTGGAAAACATACAAACGACCTATAGAATTTTCCACAAACCCCACCATAATATTCGAATATGTTTGTATTTACACATCCAAGTGTTACATTAGCAATGCACAAACGGACGTTTAGCGCAACCTTCAATATACTCATGAACGATGTTATTTCGCTGTGATATTATGACACATCTCAACTACTGTGACTATTCAATTCCAACTTCCTTCTTTCTGCATTTTATGAAGTACTGTTTCCTCGTGGCTGTTATCTAACAAATGATATCGGTTGATCAATCGGCTATTCAAATACTCGATTGTCTAAAACCTGTCTAGCTCAATTGGTGGTCTCACGGCATTATCATTAGCACGAACCATCAGTCTACACAGTCAAGCGAATCTCCTGCAAAATGTTAACGACATTGTTGTCTCTATCCCAACATAGAATAGCATTTTGCACCAATGTTATTGGCATGCGTCCAGAGAAACACCCTTGATTTCTTATGTTCTCTTCGATATTCTTCAGTAAAGCTATTGAACTTATATACGGCACTCTACACTTTTCATCTTGTGGAGATAATAGATTTATTCATGAGACACATCGTTCCTTATATCTTGAATACGATGGCAGCTATCTTAAAGCTGACATTTTATCCGGGTGATTTTCAATAAGATCTTATTCAAAGAGCCTATTACAAGCAAACTAGACAATTCGCTAATATACGAAGCCTACTCAAGACTCTATAATACCTGAAAAAAATAATTATACCAAAAAAACGAAAGCGGCCCTAATAGCTTCGATAATAAAAGGAAGATAGCCAATTGTATATCACAATACTGTTTCTAGCACTATATTTTATTTTATAACCACACATGATCCCATACTCTCAGCTCCCTTCCGAATCGCCCCATTTGTCAGTTGTATGTCCACTCATCTTGTTAATACTTATTTTCTTTAACCTATTAAAACGCTCTTTCTTAACAAATACCTTAATAAAAGAAAATTAGACTGAGTAATCATACCTTAGACATTCCTTCATTATTATTGGCTACTCTGCCTCTCGTGTTTTCTTTTACTTGCTCCCTCTTTCAGCCCCCTTGAGATATGGAACGGGTGACTTCATCCCGCACCATCCTTAAAGCCTTGGATATTCCAAAGGGACATAAGGTTGCGATTTCTAGAAGCTCATACCTTCAATGGACCTATCCTTGACCATCAGTCGCACATTCGCAACGCAACTTTCATGAAGCGCGCTAACTGTAGAACTGCTTAAAACCATCTACATTCATATCTTATAAATTATCAACCCAGCTATGTAATTTACTACAGTGTATATTGTGTCATTTGTATCGATTTGATCTTGCCTGTAAACTGGCATGCCTCATGTAACAAACTGTCATTTGAGAATAAATTATTATTATTATTACTATTACTGATAGTTACTCTTCGATTTATCCATGGGAGATGCCAGACTAGTGGTTGTAATAGATCGTTATAGGGGATCGAGGAACAGAACAGTTGGAGCACGAGGTTATCTTTTCAAATTCACTAAGTTTTCACCATTCAGTACAGAATAATAGGAAATATAATGCCCAAACAAAATAAGGAAGTAAACAAATACTGGGGCTATAATGTTTTGACATCATCAAGATGTTTTCTGCCAACTCTTAACAACCCAACCTAAGTTATTACAAGTCTCAAGGCTGTGTTTTCTCACCACTGTGATGTTATGAACGATTCCTCCACTCTCCCACATTGCCCGGATATTCTGTATCTCTATGTTTGCTGTTTCTCTGGACTTCACAAAAAGTATTGGGTTTGTGGCTTTCGGAGTTTTCCAGGTTTTATGAAGACTCTTCAACTCTCAGACCAGAGTTTAAAATTGTTCTAGTGGTTCTTTCTGGCTGCGGTTTAGCGAGACTCCCTTTAAAGAAGCGGAGAGAATGATCTTAATCCCACTCTTCTTCCTTTATTCGGGCTTGTGACCGGTGGTGTCTCCTGAGGGATTTTAGGCACAGTTTATAATCTTGTTTAGCTCAGCATCGTTCTGAAGTTGGCCAGACAGAATCTTATAATTTTGACGACACGTTTTCCAGAATACCGGATAGATCCTTTATTAAGAACGGAGTATAGTAACAGAAGCAACAAAGCAGATGTAAAGGTGGGTGGGACTGCTAAGTATAACTTTATATAGACTATGAGATATTAATAATATTGTGGCTGATAGAGGATGTACTTTGTTACCTAAGTTTATTAACACTAAGAAAAGCGAGATTAAACTGAAAACTTGTGTAAATTTGTATTTTAGGAAATATTAACTATCACACATTCAATGAACTCAACTAGTTAAAACAATCTGAAATTCTGCAGGCAATCAAAGGTTGCGCTACTTACATATGTTAGGGATTGTGTCGACGCAGTTGGTTACAAGTTTCTAAAAAGGGTGACACTGGAGTTTATCCTCAGAACATCCAAAACTTTTTGTATCAGTAAGGTCAACGTCTGTTGTTCGAGAACAACTGATAAATTTACCGACAGTAATGTTTAAAACATAACGACGTGAATTCGTAGGGAAAATAGACCTTTTGGTGTTATTGTAAGTGGAAAGTAGACTATATAATGTTAAATTAAGCTAAGTTTAGGGCGTTGGTTTCGAGAAGCCTGTTTTAATAGGGAGATTTAAGATTAAATATCACTATTTTTATCACGTGCTGCAGCTATTATGGGGAACAAGAAAACAGTTTGGTACAAGATCCCCTTTATTCGCACCGAATTTCTTTATTGAATGCTAGTTAAGTTTCCTCATCTTTTTTGAGTTGCTGTAGGAATGAAGATAAAGTTGTGTTAAATAATTACTTGACGTCAACGTAAAACCATAACTAATCATATACGGACGAATACAATAACTATATCCCCTAGACTGTCTCTGGGCACGTTATACTAAAGAGCGAAGAGGCATTGTCAAGTAGTCCTCCACTTTATCTTGAGATCTATTTCCGCTGGTTTTTTTGAGCCGTATATTCTTTCACAGGTTTTCTTTAGTCTCCTGATGTGCATTTTAAATAAAGGCTTCTTCATTTATCTATTCGAGACATTCAAAGTGTTACTATCAACGTTTCTGGCTAACAATGTCACTTACTATTTTTAGGTTAAAACCTAAGATATGGTAACCAGTGGAAGTAGTCTTGAAAACAGATTCTTCCAAATCAGGGTGATAATAGTATCACGTAGAAGTAGTGAAAGTTGACACATTTAGCTAACAGTTCAGGTGACACTTTAGGTTGTAGTTTTAGACATTATTAAATCCTTCAGTGTGTAGTAGTACCTATCCCTTCTTTAACTTTTATTACTAGGACGTAACAGAATTCGCCGGCGTTTATTTATGTCTTGGGATGTAAACGACTGGTTAGTTCGGAAACTTCTAGTTTTATATTGATATGGAGTTGGGGGAATAGATTTTTAACCTATCAATCCCCCACCAAACTTTGTATACTAAAACTTCAAAGGCAGACCAATACATACTTGGTGTATAGTAATCCTATAGGGTTCAAAACTTAATATTAGCATTTGGGCATGCAAACTGCTTTCATTCATTACACATGTCATATTCATATTTTTCCATTGGCAAAATTTACTTTTAGAGTTCAGGAAGGTGAATTGGCGACATTCATAATGCTGTTTAATTACAAACGCGTTAATTTTTAAGTCATCTGTTAAATATTGGTGGTGGTATAGAAAATGAATGTTGATGGTGTGATTATTGTTACTTTGTAATATAATCTTAGTCATTTCAGAGTCACTGAAAACGGAAATAGAAGAAATAGCTCTAAAATCGGTAAGTTAATTTGTTTACTTACTCACCAATGTAGGGAATTGATGTACGTGATTATGCTGCTCAAGTTGAATCAGAGTTAACGAAAATCGAAGAATCACTCATCAAGACATGTAAATTTTATACATTTATTAGGTATACATAGATATAACGGTCAGTCCTGAAGTAGCTAGTTTGCATAACCAAATTATCTCATGTGATGCTATCCTAGAGGTTTGTTTCTTATTTCTAAAGTATACTTCCATCATAATTAAGCGGATAGAAAACATACTGACTAATTTTCATGAAGATTTGGGTGCCATTAGCACAGAAATCCAGGATTTGCAAAGCAAATCTCTACAAATGAACACTCGGTTGCAAAACAGACAGGTATGTTATTGCACAGTAATGAGTTAATTTCTGTTCACTAAAATTATTATTTTTACTCATTTTGTATATTTTGGAGTGAGTTAATCCTAATGGTAAAAGGAAAACATTGGTAAATACAGTGTTTCTGCCGACCACGAAATATAATAAATGATTGGCATTGAATGCTCAAATATATCTAACGTGTTTGATAAATTGATATCTATAGCACTATATATAATCTTAATGCGAACCTGGACCTCACTTCACTTATGAGGATTTATAGACCTCGGTTGTATTGAGTCATATTTATTCCCTTGGTTGGTATCTAAGCCGCTAAGTAAAGTTATTGTCTGGGAATTTACCTCTTTGTGTTTTGTGTCGATCTTGATTTAGGTTTTTCTTTAGGTGTCTAGATTTAAAGAGCACGCCTGCATAATGAGCCTAAGGGATTCAGTTGATTCACCTTGGAAAATACTTTCATACGAATAGGCGGGTTTAACTAGCTAATAACAGAGTAATACTAAGATTAGTTAAATTATCACACAAATTATGTTCTATTCCTAAGTGTTTTATAGCTTTATCGAAAAAGAATTCATTTAGGGAAAAGAGCCAGAATTATTCATAAGTGTACTGTTTTGCATACAAATCATATTTTAAAATCCTTATCAATAACTTCTGAAGCTTTAGACGGCCAGTAAGACTTTCCATTATCAACTTTGATCAATTTTCCTCATGATCAGTATTCAAAAAAGTGAATTCAATGCACAAATATACGATCAGTTAGCTAGTTGTTTAGTCAAATTGGATGAATCGTATCACGTATATAATCTATAAGCCATGTTAAGGTACTATTGACACTTTGGACATTGTGTAGTTTCGTTTCAATTGATTTGTTTGTAATACATACAATGATTATATTTAAAGTAGACAGTTTTCTATGGTAACATACAAACATGTCCATCCCTTGCGCTTACGGTATTATGTCCATCCAAACGCTCAGTAAGTAAGGACACTAAAGTAGACGGTAACTCTTGAGCCGCTTGCTTATGTAAAGAGATGATACTTTCAAAGCGCACAGACTTATAATTTCATTTTTGTCACATTCTGACAAGACAATAAGTCACTTGATTTTCCCTCACTGATTTATTTCTCCCTAGGTTGTTCGGAGTAATTTAAGCCAGTTTCTTTCAGATATGGCCATTCCTGAAGAGCTTATACGGTAAGCATTTCGACCACATCTATAAAGTTACTTTTTACTATTGTCCATGACGTTGGCTTATTAATCTTCAGAATTAGTTTTATTCTGAAGTTATATCAGAATTCTCTTCTTGTTTTTAAAGCTCATTGGCAAAACTTGTTTGTCCCACTTTGAAAGCTGCCACCTGTTTTTAATGGTAAACTAATTAAATAATGTTGAGTACTAAAAACAAGTAATGTTTTAGCTAGCAGCCACTTTCAGTTAGTCTCTTCAATCTGAACAGTTATAATCCTTTCGATACTGGGTTGTAACGATCATTGTGCATCGCGTCCAAAAGTTCCGAATAAATCAATTAGTTAACAATATAATTCGATCATTTTTTTATTATTTGAACATAAATATTGGTACAAAGGGGCACCGAATACGTATGCGCCACACAAGTCACTTGATTTGTGTGTGGGCTGTGATACTGCCCGGTTGCCTATACCGAAGCAGGTGGTTTTCTTAGGGGGCCACTCTCTGAGCCTTCGACCTAAAGGTCTGATCCACAAGGCAGTGGAGCAAAGTAAGGAGATGCAGTCCCATGGTAGCCGGTGACCAGTGATTGGTTCATACTCCACTTGTCCCTTTAGGATCCTGGAGCCTATGTGCACCACTGGTTTGGAATCAGGGTTTTTCAACTCCCCTAGGTAGACTCTCAGTATCCACCAACCGGTTAGATCGCCAGACATTCGTTTTTCGTCCTTCCAATTTTGTGAACAACACCCCCACCACGAAAAGGCAGTGAGTAGGACTTCCCTGGCAGTGGCCGTATACGTGTGACCATGTGAGAGCATTTCGAGAGCGAAAACGGACTCTCCCCACCCTCGGCCGTGCGAGGGAATTTTGGGGCTAATAATTCATTCAGTCACTTCTACTGACGTACCTAGTATGGTGAAATCCAAAACAAAACAAATGTTCCAGCCGTTATTTCTGGATTGGTTCATCATGATATGCAAACACAACCACCACATCAAAGTAGTATCTACAATCGGGATTTCATTATTTGTTTGTTATTCTGCTTGTGATAAATTAACCTGTGTATAGAACTGGTTCAATAATAGTTAGGTCTAGTCAATCCTAAACTTGTATGCAATAACTGTATTCACGGCAGCAAACGATAGGTAAAAAGTAAACTGAATTGGACAGGCATTTATCGTGAAGATATTGGTATCAATTGCTTACTAGGTATGTAAATAACCAGACGAGTCCAAATGTTATCTCTTCATTTAACCGTTTGATACTAGACGTCGAATTAACCATTCAATTGATCTGATCATACGTTTGTTACAGGTTCAAAAATTAGATCATGAATATTTATATCTTTACAAGCTGGATGAAAGTAATCTAATAGAAATTATTCCATATACCGAGTACCATCAACTGTTTTCACTACTCTCATTGTTGGGCTAAGAAAATATGTCAAGTAATCACTAACACGCCAACTTCAGAGGTCACACCAGTAAGACCATCATGTCTTCCTTGCATCTCAAAGGAGAATATTTAGTTACCAGTGTTATAATCGTAAAAGTCCCGTTTACTGCAGTTGAAATGCAGAATGCTCAGCTTGATAAGTCTTTGGAGCAATTTTAGTCCCATCGACACTTCTACTCAATTTAGTTTATTGGTTTTTGTTGTCTTCTGTTTGACCTCGTACATCAGGCGTATTGACCCTGATGCCTATTACCTTAATTTAACTTTTCGTAAACCAAGATTTGATAATTACATAGTTATGAGGTATTTTAGTGCTCTTGATGTTATTTTATCTGGAACAACCAACAGTTCACGAACTCCTTTTTAATAATAATTCTTTTAGACATATCATGTACACTCCTGTTACTGAACAAGAGTTCCTTGAAAACCTTCATGAATTAAATCATAAAATGAATTTCTCGTCAGAGCAATCTATGGTGGATTACAAATCATTTAACGATGTTAGTGTACTTCTAAAAAAGTTGAGAATTAAGGTGGTATATCTTTGCAAATGTGTATGATTTATTTGTTGATTGCATATACTTCAATTTAGTTATTTATCTAGACCCAAGATAGTCATCTCTTAACTACAAAGCACCAGCTCCGGACTGTCCTCAGTCTGCATCAGTTAATCCAGATAACTAGTCTAAATACCCCTTATCCAATATAAAAGTTTTAATTTTTTTGGTTATGCTGCACTTATTAAGTGAAATCAAAGCACTAAGGAGGTATATATGTTACGACAATTTTCCGCATAATTTAGGCGAATTTCAATATGCCTACTTACTTACAAAATCAGTAGTTCAACGTGATATTAAGGATTTATTCATTTGAGGTCTTGTCTTATTTCTAAGGTTACTACTGATTCTCTGAAATATTGAAATTTTTTCACTCAATAAACATCAGTTCTTGTCAATTGTGACAATTAGTGATAGTTGGACGTCTGAAATATAGATCCTGTTCACCTATTCTACTTACCTACCTACCTCAGTCAGTCAGCTACAACGTATGACCAGGCATATATATGCATCAGTCCAGGTTGCCATACCTCATTAGCACAACAAGATGAACACCAAATTTATAGAAGTAGTTACTTCAATGGTAGTAATGTATCAAAGAAAGATTTTGTATAAGGATATAATACAGGAAGAAAGAATTAGTTCGTAGAAATAAAGGTATGAAGTAATTTTAATCTCATGGTTTAAGGGAAGACAAAGAGTGTATACATCGACACCATTGTGATAGATTCTGAGCTATGTCACCTAGAGTTTCCAACAACTGGTTACGATAGTCGCGCGGACCCCAACCAAATAGTCTGCATTTACCAACATGGCTCAGATCAGAGGTTAGTGACTTCAAGAGCTGATGCCACGTTTTAGTTTGGCCGCCCCTAACTTTCTTCCACCCGTCTCCAACACTAGTCAGCATTGCACGTCGTGGTAATCGGTGTTCGGGCGTACGTAACACATGACCCAACCATCTTAGTCAATGAAGATTCACAACCTAATCGAACGATTTACCAGCAGTCCCTGGTACCCTTCGTCTGACCTCACTATTACTTACCTTACCCGGTGATCCCAGCAAATGCGAGCAACATCTGTGACCAGATACCAGTCACTTACGAGTATCTTCTACCCTTAATGGCCGCATTTCACAACCGTAAAGTAAAACAGGACGGACTGCTGCTCAATATACTCGTCCCTTAATTGATAGGCGAATATCTTGTCTTCGCCATAGGTGACGTAAGTTGGTAAAAGCCAAACGAGCTTTTTGAATCCGTGAAGAGATTTCGTCAGACACTAACCCATTAGAGCTGATCAAACTTCCAAAATAAGTGGTGTCAACGCGTTCGACTACTTCACTTCCTATCCTTAGTTCAGGTGTTGATGCGGGCCAATCCTGAAGCAACAACTTGTATTTAGTGGGGGGAGAAATGCACCCCAGACATCGTGGCATTGTTGCTCAGTGCTAGCAAAAGACTGCACTTTATTAGCATTTTCACGAAACTGGACTATGTCATCTGCGTATTCTAAGTCGATAGGTGGACCTCCTGGTAGGAGATCAATGCCCGAAAACTCAGTCAACGACAGCGTTATTTCCATCAGTAGGTCTATGGTGAAGTTAGACAAAAATGGAGAAAGTGGACAGCGTTACCGGACACAACTTGAGGTTGCAAAAGTAGATGACAGTTCGCCATAAGCTCTGACTCGACTAGTAATGTTCGAGTAAAGAGCCTGCATAATGTTTATTTACTTCTGAGGTACACCTTTCAATGACAGACACTGCCACAGAATCTCGCGATCTACAGAGTCAAGTGTTGTTTATAAGTCAAGAAAGACCACCATTGTCGGACACCGGTAAGCATGTCTGTGTGCTAGAACCTGACGAATGGTGAATATGTGGTCGATGCAGCCACGACCAGGCCTGAAACCAACATGATTTCCTCGTGTTTGCAGTTCACGAGTCTTAGTCTGGCGTCCAATAATTATTGAGACTAGTATTTTAGATGTTATACTAGTCAAACTATTCCCTCTATAGTTGTCACAGGGTGATTTTGACCCCTTATATATTGGGACAATCAGTGGTTGCAATCAGTCCGATGGGATTGCGTCCAACTCCCAGATTTTATCTAAAATACTAGTCAACCTAATCGCTAAAATTGGACCACCATCTGGACCAGCTTCTCTTCCTCGTTTCAGACTAGCTTTAGCCTTTTGGACTTCGACTAGAGTCGGGGGGCCTACTTTAATGTTCCATTTACACTCTGGGAACTGTGGGTAGTTGTAGAGTAGCTGAAGGCCAGCTGAAATGCTCCTTAAAGTTTTCCGCCCATCGTTCTAAACGTGTGAACTGGGAGCAGATAAGAGTGTCGTCGTTTTCCGTGATTGTCTCACACTTGACTTCTTAATTTCAGTTTCTTTTATTTGTCTGTAGAGCTATCTTGTGTTACCTGTGGTGGTCGGTATTCGATATATCCCTTAAACTTCGTATACAATTCGTCTCGATAACCGTTCTATATAACGCCAACGGTATATTATTCAGAAGGCAAATACGAAGTGTTGATTACGTTTATTGCGAGACCACACACATATATCCAAATGTACAGATGTGTTAAACAAGCATAGAAGAGTTGTGCCGAAAGGCAAGCAAGCGAGCGAGAGCCAGAGCAAGAGCGTGACGAGACCGTGCGAGCGAGTGAGCGATCGTGTGTTCAATATGAATAACATGGACATATATATACCATGTGAAATGAATGAGTAATCGAATCGAATAAGCGGTTAGTAGTAAGACTAGCAGAGTGAATAAATGCGTAGGCAGTAATCAATATTCAAGCATACGTATTTCATACAAGCGCAAAATAATAATAAGGATACAATAAATTGTTATAGTGCGGATGGCTTTGTCCGCTAAATAAGTTAACAAAAGGGCTTAACTGGGTTAAATGAAAATAAACCCATTTGCACGTGAGTCGCTATAATAGCTCCCCCCTGCAAACAAAGATATATGGAAAATGTCTGTGTTTGCATAAAAAAAATAGTAGACTGAATAGGGTAGAAAAATGGCTTATACAAAATTAAGATGAAGTTGGTGTGTGCTGTACATTTGGTTTGCGCCCGTCCGTGAGGTTACATAAAATAATAGCAAGAAATAGAAGGAATGTGGTATTGTCTTTACATTTTAAACAAAAATTATACGCATAAGTGTAAGGGTACATAAGATACGTTGAGTTTTATAGCGTATAACACGAGCTTAATAATGCATGTGTATACAATGAGGTAGAAGTTATAATTAATATTTAAAATAGTAGATCATTAATAAAAAATCGTAGCAACATATTGTTGGGGCCATCTTACTCTGCGGCCGGATCTTGTTGTTATCTGAGTCTTGTCTTTTTGTTGCGTTAACGTCGTTGATTTTTGGGACTCGTGTTTCGCTGGTGTGACCATCTTAGATGAGTCTGTACTTGTTGATTGATTATCACTATCGATGAAAGCTGGCTTTACTCGATCGATGCTAATTACATCTGTCTTCCCAGCTTTTTCTATGGTAACCGTTTTATTTGTCCTCTCTATCACTTTAAATGGGCCGTCGTAACTCGGTTGAAGAGGTGGTTGTACTTTATCTCTTCTAATGAATACGTGAGTGCTGTTATGTAGTTCCTGTGGTATGAATACTCGTCGTTGTTGTGGTCTGGGAGGTGTTATTTTTAAATCGCTCATGTGCTTTCTCAGGCGTTGCACATAGCCGGTTACATCAGTCGGGACACTTTTACTTGGAGTGAAAAATTCTCCGGGTAACCGTAGAGTAGTTCCGTAAACTAACTCGGCTGGACAACATCCCATGTCTTGTTTAATTGTTGCTCTTAGAGCTAACATTACTAGGGAAGTTTATTAGACCAATCGTTGTTAACGATGACGGCTGTAAGGGACGCTTTTAATTGCCTATGTAGGCGTTCGACCATTCCGTTTGCCATTGGATGGTACGATGTCGTTCGGATTCGTTTAATACCGAGGAGTTCTGTAAGCTGCTGAAAGAGTCGACTTTCGAATTGTGCTCCTCTATCAGTTGTGATAATCGTTGGTACACCGTAGTAAGAAATCCAATTTTCAACTAGGGTTTTAGCTACCGTTTCAGCTGAGGTGTCTTTTATCGGTACTGCTACCGGCCATCGTGTAAACCTGTCGATGCATGTAAAGATATAGTTGTATCCATTTGAAACGGGCAGTGGTCCTACAATATCGATGTGTATATGTTCAAATCTAGTGTCTGGGTGCGAAAACGGACCTACTGCCGAGCTAGTATGACGATGTACCTTAACTTTTTGGCACTTCATGCATGCCTGTGTCCAATTACGTACATCGTGATTCATGTTTGTCCATACGAATCGTTCACTAATCAGCTTTATCGTGGCTTTTATTCCTGGGTGTGACATGTTGTGCATGCTTTCGAATATTTTGTGTCGCAACGTTTTCGGGATAAATGGTCGCGGTCGGCCTGTTGATGTATCGCAAATTACTTTCGTGTTACCAAACCGCACCTCTTCGAGTACTAATGATGTTGAACCACCGGATCTGAGTTTATTTAACTCGATGTCTCTCTCCTGCAACTTTGCTAGACCGTTATAATCAATTCCACTTGCCATAAGTGTGCTTATCGTTGCTCGTGACAATGCGTCGGCCACATCGTTTTCTTGTCCTTTAACGTACTGTATGTCGGACGTGAACTGTGAAATGAACTCCAGTTGTCGGATCTCTCTCGGAGAATAATTGTCTTGCTTTGCACTTAACGCTTTCGTTAGTGGTTTATGGTCTGTATAGACGGTAAAATTTATGCCTTCGACCATATGACGGAAGTGTTTTATTGCTAAGTAGATTGCTAATAATTCTCTTCCAAACGTACTATATCTCGTTTGGGTAGGATTTAATCTTTTCGAGAAAAATGAAAGTGGCTCCCATACACCGTTTACTAACTGCTGCAAAACGGCTCCTACTGC